AGGCTACCAGCTGGTGGTGCTGCAGTGGATAGCCTGGGCCTCCCTCTGTGGGGGCAATCCATCTAGGAGCCCTGGCCAGGTGGGCAGGGCCTACCTCTTTGAGGTGATCGATCACAGGGCTCCCAGTCTGTGAGAGGGCATAGGCCAGGCTGAGGGACCCCATTCCCCCGAGTGTACGAATTTCGTGCACCGGGCCTCTAGTCCTATATAATAAAAGGCTAATAAGCAAATAGACTGAATGGCGGAACAACCAAACAACCAGTTGCTTTGATGTGCGCTGACCACCAGGGGGCACGTGTGGAACGGCAGGTGTCGGCTGCTGCAGGATGGTGGAGCAGGGGTGCCAGATCAAGGCGGGGCACTGGTCACTGTCATCACCTCTGGTGGTTACTGAAAATTCTTTGCTCTCACACGCCATGGTCCCGCCCGGTGCTTGCACCTCCTGCCAGCGCCAGCCTTGCTCACACCCGCTGCTGGCACTGGAGCCACCACTGGCACCCGCTGCCGGCGCCCGGCACTGGCCCTGATCGTTCAGCACAGTCAGCAGGTGTGAGCGGTGGCTGCTGGCCCCAATCACCCGTCAGGGCTTCTCCACCTCCCCCTGGTCCTGAGGGGAAATCAGGGCAGCAGCCGCCACTCACATCTGCTGACAGCACTGACCCCAACCGCTCTGCGCCGTCAGTGGGTGTGAGCAGTGCATGGGAGCAGCAGCAGCAGGAGCAGGGCAGCCAGTAGACAGGGGACTGGGGGCCATGGTGGGAGGGGACAGGCAGGGGCACAGAGGATGGGCCAAAACCCGCCCTGTGCCCACTGTAACCTCGCAGCCCACAGTTCCTTTCAAGGTGCACAAATTCATGCAATGGGCCCGTAGTAGAGTTTATAAAAGAAAAATATTGAATATAACTTAAATGTCCATTAATAGAGAGTGATGAAATAAATGCTGGGTATAATTTCAATATAATTATAAAATAATAACATACCTTCAATAGCAGGCAACCACTAAAATAATAAGGCAGATCTATATGTACAGAGAAACATCTCTAAGATATATCATTAAGTTCTTTAAAAAAGAAACAAAGTGCTCTAGCTGGTTTGGCTCAGTGGATAGAGCGTCAGCCTGCAGACTGAAGGGTCCCGGGTTTGATTCCGGCCAAGGGCACATGCCTGAGTTGTGGGCTCAATCCCCGGTGGGGGATGTGCAGGAGGCAGCCGATCAATGATTCTCTCTCATCATTGATGCTTCCATCTCTCCCTCCCTTTTCCTCTCTGAAATCAATAAAAATATATTTTTTTAAAAAAAAGAAAGAAACAAAGTGAGATCAGGTATGCAGCACATTGCCATTTCTGTGGGAGGAACACTCAATGAATTTGCTTGCTTATATATTTATAAATGTATAGATTTTAATGAAGGGTATATAAGGAATCAGTAGTAGTGGTGGCTTCCAAGGAGAAGTATATTATGGGAGGAAGGAGCCTTTACCTTTCATTGTGCACTATTTTGTACCTTTCAAATTAAATGATTTACATATATTGTCAATCCAATAAAACTAAATAAAGCATTTAATGTCTTCTATTTAAGTAGAGGGTTTCTTCTTATCACAACTCTATAGCGCTTCTTTTGCCAACACTCCAAATTATATACCTTCCCTGGTCCTGCAACTCTCAGAATTATAGTATTTCCACTTATTCATTGAAGAGAAATTTTTTTGTATTTATTTGATTGCCAAGTACAGTATCTGGATTTACTAAAATTTAAGTTTTAAGGATTTTTATTTTTCCCTCTATTTTGTCCCTTTTATCATTCTTAAACCATTAAGTTAATGAAAGTTTTTTAAAAACATTGAAAAATCAAAGTTCTATTATTTGACATTCTTTTGAAATATACATTTAAATTATACAGAATTGGGGGGAAAACAAAACACCTTCTGTTTATAAAAGAAAACTCTCAAGCTATTCTTCTCAACTAGTCCCTCATTTTCTCAAAAATCAAAGACTTCTGTGTTTTTAAAATCTGAGTGAAAATTCTGTTTAAACAGGGCAGACACCGTAGTTCATTAGGGCTGCTATAACAAAAACACTGTGGGCTGGGTGGCTTAAACAACAAATGTTTATTTCTCACAGGTCTGGAAGTCCAAGACCAAGTCTAGCAGATTTGGGGTCTGGTGAAGACCCACTTTCTAGTTCATCAATGGCTGCCTCCCTGCTGTGTCCTGCATGGTGGAAGGGATGAGGGAGATTTCTGGGTCTCTTTTATAAGGGCACTAATCACATTCAGAAGGGCTCTGCCCCCAAGGCCCCACATCCTAATACCATGCATTGAGGGTTAGCATTTCAAAGTAGAAATTTTGTGGGGACACAAACATTCTGCCCATAACAATAGGTACATTCCTTAAATCAGAAACAAATAGTAACTAAAGGAGAAAATGATAAAAAATGTACTTAATTTGCTTTACCACCCACCTTTCTGAAGCCAAATACAAAGATTAAATTTGACTCTGCAAAGTCTAGATTTAGTTGTGTGGATAACTTAATTAAATTGGAAGTGGAAAAACAAACTGACTTTAATGTGCTTATAAAAGAAAGAAAGGATGCATCATAAAGTAAATAGCCATTGGGATTGGTTAATGAAAGAAATGACTGATTTTAGTAAATGATCTAAATTCATACAAAATTTTCTAAAACTGTCACAGAGTATGATGACCAAGGTCCTCCCTTTGCAAGGTGTCCTTTGGCCTGGTCATGGTAAACCAGGAGATCTGGAAGCCTCTGGAGAGTTGGGAGATTATCTTCTGAGGGCATTTTTTTCCAATAGGACTGGAAGTTCAGGTCAGAGTGGGATGAGTCAAGAGATCAGAAGACTGGACTGCCCAGCAGAGCCCAGTCCAAATTTTGAAGACACAGAATTGTGAGCTAAATGAAACGGTTGTTGTATTAAGCTACTAAGTTTTGGGTGTTCTGTTATGCAACAGTAAGTGTGACAACTCCCCATCAGCAAGGCATGATATATCTCACTTTCCCACCAACACTTGGCAGTATCAAGCTTTCTAATTTTTACCCATCTTACAAGTAGGTATATAGGCATACTAGCAAATGATATCTTAAGTTGGATTTCTTTAAGATTATAAACAAAATTGAGTATCTTTTTATATACTTGGTGGACTTTGGGCTTCCTCTTCTTAAAGTTGCTGCCTTTTTCTTGATATATTCTAGATGTTAATACCTTTCCATTTTAGGTACTACAATATCTTCTACTACCCTCTAATCTATGGTCTTTGCCCATGATGGCCTTTGTTGAATAAAACTCCTGAATTTTTTATGTAATCGAATGTATCAAATTTTTGCCTTATGGTTTGTGTTTGTAAAGTGTTTTTTTAAATATATTTTATTGATTTTTTTTTTACAGAGAGGAAGGGAGATGGGTAGAAACATCAATGAGAGAGAAACATCGATCAGCTGCCTCCTGCACACCCCCTATTGGGGATGTGCCTGCAACCAAGGTACATGCCCTTGATCAGAATCGAACCTGGGACCTTTCAGTCCGTAGGCCGACGCTCTATCCACTGAGCCAAACCAGCCAGGGTGTGTTTGTAAAGTTTTATTTAAGAAACGCTTTGCAACTCCTAAGGTCACAAAGACACCTTATTACAATTTCTTCTGTCTTCCTTAGAGTTCTTAGACCATTAGATCTTTCATTCATTCTGATAGTTTGGAAAGTGCATTTTCAAAAGGGCATTTTCCACCAAGTGGTCATGATCCCATGGCCTGGCTTTGGCACATGGTGTTAGATAGGGGTCAGGTTTTCTTTTTCTTCACAGTGAGTCAGTGTATCATCTATTGCACAATTTGCCCTTTTCTCCATTGATTTGTGATGACACCTTTGTTGTGTATCAAGTTCCCTTGTGCAAATGACACTATGCTAGAGATCTTTCTTCTATCCAATTGGCAAATCTGTCTAAGGAGCTTATTGTCTAAACAGAAAAATGACAATACAGTGAGTGAAGACCTATATGAAACTAAGTATAAAGTACAGGCATAGTCCAAAGGAGTGAGAGACCAATTTACCTGGGATGCATATCCAGGAACAGAATTGGTGGATTTGTGGGGCAAGAATGAGAGGGGGTTCGGGTAAGAGTGGGCTGTGTCAGAGGAAGAACTTGGAGTTGGGTCTTGTATTTTGCACAAGAATTAGGGAAGGCACCTGGGAGGAAAAGCATTCAAGTTGAGAGGATGTTTGAGTTAAGGGACAGAGCTGGGAAACAGGCTCCAGTGGGGGACTGGAACATTGATGTGGCTGCAGCAGGAGTTGTAAGGCCAGGAGAGGCAGATGATGAGGCTGTAAAGAAGGCATTTTTCTTGCTTTCCCAAAAAGGTGAAAGAAAAGAGAGTCTCTTTTTTTATGTGAAGTGATGTGATATGTACCCAAGTTAAAGAAAGTTTGCAAAAACTTCTTTGTGAGAAATTAACCAATGTATGTAGATATAGAAAAAAATTAATATGTGCATGTTAGAAATAGGCCTTTGAAATTATTGTTTATTGGAGAGGATTTAAAAATGTAGTTTGTTGAATAAACATTATATTCAAAAACTAAAGGGTATACAGTAAAAAGTAAGTTTCCTCCCACCTCTGATCCCCAGAATTTTAAATTTCCTTCCCCAGTGGCAAGCACAGTGGTCAGTTTCATATGGCATAAACAAACATAAATCTTATATTAGTTACCTACTGCTGTGCAACAAATTGCCCCAAAACTTAGTGGTTTAAAACAACAAATATTTATTTATTTACTTATTTATTTATTTAAATATATTTTATTGATTTTTTACAGAGAGGAAGGGAGAGGGAGAGAGAGTTAGAAACATCGATGAGAGAGAAACATCAATCAGCTGCCTCCTGCACACCTCCCACTGGGGATGTGCCCGCAACCAAGGTACATGCCCTTGACCGGAATCGAACCTGGGACCTTTCAATCCACAGGCCGACGCTCTATCCACTGAGCCAAACTGTTTAGGGCAAAACAACAAATATTTATTGTCACACATTTTCTGTGGTCAGAAATCCAGCGGCTTAACTGAGCCCTCTGGCTCAGGATCTCTCATAGGTCATGGTCAGTTGTTGGCTGGGGCTGCAGTCACCTCACAAATCCACTTAGGAGGATCTGCTTTCAGGTGCACTTAAGGGGTATTGGAAGATTTAGTTTCTCACAGGCTGTTGGGCTGAGGGCCTCATTTCTTTAACTGGCTTTTGGCCTGAGGCCTCCTTCAGTTTCTTGCCACGTGGGCCTCTCCACTGGGCACCTCACAGCATGGTAACTGATGTCATCAGAATAAACAGGCGAGAAGAGCTAGAAAAGTAAGAGAAGAAAAGAAGCCAATGTTTTTTATAACCAAATCTCAGAAGTGACATCTCACCTTTGCTGCAATTTTTTTAAATATATTTTTAATTGATTTTTTACAGAGAGGAAGGGAGAGGGATAGAGAGTTAGAAACATCGATGAGAGAGAAACACTGATCAGCTGCCTCCTGCACATCCCCTACTGGGGATGTGCCTGCAACCAAGGTACAAGCCCTTGACCAGAATCGAACCTGGGACCCTTCAGTCTGCAGGCCGACGCTCTATCCACTGAGCCAAACCGATTAGGGCTTTGCTGCAAATTTTTAATGAGAAGGCACATCACTAGACTGAGCACACACTCAAGGAGGGATTACATAGGGCATGGTTACCAGGGCTGAGAGATCATTGGGAGCCACCTTAGAAGATGCCTAACACAGTGTATGCTGTATTTCTACCTATAGGTACCTTTTTTTTTTTTTTTAGCTCAAATATTCACACCTTGCTTTTGTCATGCAACAGTGTATGTTTTGTAAGTCTGTACATAAAGATCTCTCTCATTCCCCCAGCAGTGGCAGGGCTTTTCAGCCCTGCTTCCACACTGAGCATTTTTTGGATGGGCCATACGCTGGTAAATAGTACCTTCTGATGGACTTTTTTTGTGTGTTAATCCTCACCGGAGGATATTTTTCCCATTGATTTTTAGAAAGTGTGGAAAGGAGGGGGAAAGACAGAGAGAGAGAGGAACATCAATGTGAGAGAGACATATAGATTGGTTGCCTCTCACACATGCCCTGACTGGGGCTGGGATTCCAGCCTGCGTGCCTTTGACTGGAACCAAACCAGAGACCCTCAGTCCGTGGGCTAACGGTCTAACTACTGAGCAACTGGCCAGCACGGTTAGGGCATTTTTGATCTTTTGCTGTAATGACTTGCTGTACATGTTCCTTATTGGTGTGAGAATGCATCTCCTTACAGAGTTGCTGATCAAAGGGTAGGTGCACTTCACATTTCGATAACTGTCTGAATTGCCTTCCAAGGGAGGTTGCACCAGCTTATTTTCCAACCCCAAAGTGTAAGCTTTGTCTAATTCACCACACCACCTTCAGACATTGTTTTCATACGTTTTGATGAAAAAGGAAAAGAGAAATGAGAAAAACTGAAAACAGAAATTTAATAAATAGCACAAATTGGGATAAGAGTCTACTATTTGCTAATTTGATCTGGATTTACCAGGGTATTTTCCTGGTCAGGCCCCAGTGTACCTGGAGACCTGCTGTGGCTCCTGTCACTGTTATCTCAGAGAGTATTTCCCTTCTGAGGCATGTGGTTCTCTAAGAGCTTTCAACAGCTCATCAGATTCCAACTTCTTCTGGAGGAGATGACACAAATATCAAACGAAGTTTACACTGATTTACTTTGGAAATTATAGCTTTGGTAATTTTTGTCTTTTCTACTGATACTTCAAGCATTAGAAAGACAAAGACAGTCTTTGTGAAGTCATGCCGTTTCCTGCTTCAACAGTGCTTGGACCAACCAGAGCTCAACCCATCCCAGACAGCCACCACAATCCAGCCTCACCACCTCCTCACAGCACCCTTGGATGCCACAAGCCCCCGGGTGTAAGGACCGTGACCTCCTTGCAGGTGCACCAGAACTGCCACCAAGACTCACAGATCACGCCAAAACCGGTTTGGCTCAGTGGATAGAGCGTCGGCCTGCGGACTGAAAGGTCCCAGGTTCGATTCCGGTCAAGGGCATGTACCTGGGTTGCGGGCACATCCCCTGTGGGGGATGTGCAGAAGGTGGCTGATCGATGTTTCTCTCTCATCGATGTTTCTGACTCTCTATCTCTCTCCCTTCCTCTCTGTCAAAAATCAATAAAATATATTAAAAAAAAAAAAAAAAAAAAAAAAAAAAAAAAAAGACTCACAGATCAACCTACAGCTCCTATATCTACTTGTCCAGGTCTTACTGCTTTGACCGTGATTATATGGCTTTTCTGAAGACCTTTGCCAAATATTTCCTTCACCAATTTCATGGGGAATATGTGAGAAATTGATGAAGCTGCAGGACCATTGATGTGGTGAACCTTCCTTCAGGCTCTCAGGAAACCAGGCCCCAGGACTGGAAAAGGGGCTGGATGCCATGGGGTGTGCATTACAATAAATCAAATAGAATAGAGAGACGGTGTTGGGGTAAAAGCAGTCTTAGAGCCCAGGAATAGCTCTCCTTCAACTCCCCTCACAACTCTGGAAAATTTTCTATAATCAACTAGCTCCTGTCTGTGTATTTTCACTGAAATACTTATTTCATGAAGGTAGATTGTTCCACTGTTAAACAGTGTAGAGGTTAAAAGTTATTTTGGAATGAGAGATATCTTTGCTCTGTGTCTACATCTAGTGCTCCCTCCCCTGTCCAAAAGCAGGGAAGTCTTTGTTCTCAGAAACAGCTCCCAGAGCCTCCTCCAGGCTGCCCTCCTCCATGCTGCCCTCCTCCAGGCTGCCCTCCTCCATGCTGCCCTCCTCCAGGCTGCCCTCCCCCAAGCTGCCTTCTCCCAGGTTGCACACTTTACTCTGCGTTATTCCTTCTTCCCAGGAATTGATTTTCTGCTGAACCCCACAGGATAGGCAGTGACTTTTAGGGCCATTGGTTGAGAGTTTGCATGACAAAGAGCTGCTGTGATTTAAAAAATGCTATGACAACGTTCATAGCAGCACAATTCACAAGAGCCAAGAGCTGGAAGCAACCCAAATGTTCCACGCATGAACAGATAAAAAAATTGTGACATAAACATAGACTGGAATATTATTTAACCTTAAAAAAGAAGGAAATTCTACACATGCTACATCACAGATGAAGCTTGAGGTCATTATGCTAAGTGAAATAAGCCAGTCACAAAGGGACAAATACTGTATGATTACACTTATATGAGATATATAGAGTAATTAAATTTGTAGAGACAGAAAGTTAGAATGGTTTCCTGGGGCAGTGGGCAAGGATGAGGGTGAGAATGGGGAGTTAGTGTTTGAGGGGAAGAGTCTTTTTTTTTAAAAAGTCTTTATTGTCGAATTATTATATATGTCCTCCTTTTTCCCCATTGACCCCTTCTAGCCTGCACCCGCTCTGCACCCCAGGCCTCACCACCCTATTGTTTGCTTAATCTCTTCCACCAACCCACTCACCCATGCCTTCCCTCTGAGATTCGACAGTGAGAACAGAGTTTTAGTTTGGGGAAGATGAAAAAGTTCTGGAGATGGATGGTGGTGATGATTGCACAACAATGTGTGTGTCTTAACCCACTAAACTGAATATTTACAAATTATTAAAATAGAAAATTAAATTGTGTATTCGAGACTCATTACTCATATACTATAGTTAGTTTTGGCTCACATTCCCTGTCCCCAAAATCTTCATTCATCCTGGTAAGTCTCTGGGAGCCACTTCCCTGGGTTCAGATGATTAGACTAAGAACAAGCATCTAAACTGAGCTGGATTATTCAGAATCCATGGCTGCAATTTTGGAATTCAGTTTCAGGAACTTCTTGTTAGTTTCTGTGTGGGGTGAGACAGAATGTGTTTCATATAGGTGGGAGCTGCAAAGTTGCCATCTCCACACTGATTTATTTTTTATTTCACCAATGTTTACTGTTCACCTGTTGTGTGCCAGGCATGCTAATATGTGCTGGGATTCAGCCCCGTCCCTGCCTTCCTGAATAAGCAAAGCAAGCCTGGTGCAAAGGTATTATCTCTAATGTTATCAATAATATTTCTATTATCTCAAATATTTTGTGGACTGTTCTCCCCTAAGTGAACATCATAGTATACCTCCTTTTATTCATATTTAACTTCCCCTCCTAAATTATTTTTAGCATATTTTTCAGCACCAGCACTAGCACAATCAATGTATTGGTTGACAATGACAGGGTATTAGATTTAATTGTAATAATAAATGTGACAAGAGCACCAAGATCATTCACAGAAGCTCTGTGTGTATTCACTGGACACCAATAAAGAATGGTGAGTGTTTTTGCTTACCAGTGGCAATAGCACCACCACGTGGCAAAATAATAAACGACATTTGCAGTCCCTGGAGCCTGCCTGCATAGAAATTACACAATTAGGTTTTTGTTTTTTTTTAATGTGAAGATCTAATTGGCTTTTTAAAGTGATTCATGAATTGGGCTATATCTCATTTGGCAACTAAAAGGGCACTCCCAAAAATTACATAATTCTTGGGGGGAAAATTTTTATTAGGGGGTTGAGAAATGCACATTATTTCCAAATTTGTACAGAAGAGAGACTTTTGTGCTCCCAAAACCTGCCTTTGATGTAGGATTTACTCATCAACAAATATTTATTGAGTGCCTTCATGGTGCTTACTCTGCTCTAGACTTTGCAGATACAGCAGTAATCAAATTGAACTAAAATTTGTCTTCACTGCTTACTCTCTGATTGTGACACATTTGTTTCCTTTATACCTTGGAAGTCAACAGAGACCTGTTTCATACCACCTTCACTGGAACCACACCATCTACCCACTGAACTCCTCAGGAATAATTTCAGAACTCAGCTATTTTGAAATGATTGTATTTATTAGGACCATCCACATATCAGTTTTATTGTGGGATCAAAGCTATGCCTGTCAGCCAGGGACAAAATACAGAAGCAGAAAGTTCATTTTAGATCCTGTGGCCAGTAAATAATAGCCCTTCAAAGAGTTCCACATCAGCCCTAGCCAGTTTGGCTCATTTTATAGAGCGTCGGCGTGTGGACTCAAGGGTCCTGGGTTCGATTCCGGTCAAGGGCACATGCCCAGGTTGCAGGCTCGGTCCTCAGTAGAGGGCATGCAGGAGGCAGTCAATCAATGATTCCCTCTATTGTGGATGTTTCTATCTCTCTCTTCCTCTCCCTTCCTCTCTGAAATCAATAAAAATATATTTAAAAAAAAAACCAAAAAAAAAAAACCAAAGAGGTCCACATCTTAATCCCCAGAACATGTTAATTTACATG